GACGGGCATGGGTGGGCTGTGCTGCCCCGATGCCCTCACCCACACCACCTGCAGGTGATGGGCCTCGGCCTGTCCAGCGTTTTCGCACTGTGTCTGGGTCACACCTCGAGCTTCCTGAAGGCTGTGGTCTTTGCGTCTGCCTCCATTGGCCTCCAGACCTTCAACCACAGGTAAGGGAATGGCCCTGTCTCTGAGCTGGCAACCTATGTCCCCAAATCTGACTTTTCCAATAACTTAAAAAACGGCAAAGAAAGCACGCAAACTCACAGAAGTACCTTTTCACAATCCAGGGATGGCTTGGTGACCTTAGGGGTCTGTGGAAAGAGAGAGAGCCACTGGAATTCTTTATTCTTATATAGGGGACCCACAAGGGGAGGTTCCATGGAATATTCTATCCCAAAGAGGGCAAAGGGGTAGGATTCCAAAGGAACAGGTGGGTGTAATTTAACCCCACCGGGTGACGCCCACCCCTGGAGCCACACCTTCCTTATCCGAGCTGGGGTAAAGCCCAATGTATTGTGGGGTGCAATAACTGTTCAGCACCCCTTTACTCAGGACTTAAAGGTGTGCACATAGCTTCTGTCCAGAGTGGCTCCCGACATAAGGGACTGCTGCCCATGCACCAGTGGCTAGTGCTGTTGGGGGCAGCCCAAGCCTTGTGTCCTGGCTCAGGGACCTGTGAGTGGTCTCATGAGTGGTCTCATGGACTGGCAGATCTGTGTATCCAGACAGTGGGGACCAAGGCCCTGAGGGAGGGAGAGGGCCAGCATCAGCGGCCTGGGTGCCCTGGACATACTCTCAGTCTGCTGGGGTGGCATCTAAACATGGCTGCCTCTGACCTCACCCACCGTCAGTGTCATTCAGATAAGTGGACAGCAGATGGGGTGCCTTTGTGCAGCCTGTCTCAGGTGGCTCCCAGGTTGAGTGTGAGGCCCAGTGCCCCATGGGGAGGCTGCTCACCCGCCTCCTCTCCTGCTTCCCACAGTGGCATTTCCGTTAACATCCAGGACCTGGCCCCATCCTGTGCTGGATTTCTGTTTGGTGAGGACTTTGCTGAGTCCAGCTTCGCTCCACCTGTCTCCTGGCCAGAGAACCACTCCCAGGCAGGCTGGGCAGGGCAGCCATGTGGCTATTCTCTGATATCTTTTCTCTGGCCTGTTCCCAGGTGTGGCCAACACTGCAGGAGCCTTGGCAGGTGAGGGGTGGGCATCTACACCCAGAGGTCCTCCTGCCCTCTGGACTAGAGCCCACTAGGAAGCAAGCCCAGCAGCCGGCTGGCTTCCTGCTCCCCCGTCTGGCTGTCCAGTCCTGCAGGGTGGAGTGCAGCGTCCTGTGAGGGTCCCCACATCAGGGGAGGGCAGGAGCCTCAAAGTGGCCCAGGCAAAGCACAGGGCTGCTTTTGAAGTATCCATTTAGCTCTGCTGATGGTGGGCAGTTCACAGGCCCCTGCCCTCCGCACCTGCCCCCAGGTATGCGTCCAGCCTGGCAGGTTAGGGCCCTTGATACCTCCTGGTCCCTTTGCCAAGTGCCTGGCTCATTCTCCAGGCAGCGCTTCCTGCCACTTGTCCTTTGCTCTGTGGCCCCTTGGAGGGACGGGGGCAGGGGGCCCATCGGGGTGATTGTTGGTTGTCTGCGGGGTTCCTACCTCCAAGACCTCGGATTCTTAGCCTGGAAGGATGTGCCCCCAGATCCCCCGGGAGCCGGGGTGGCTGTGTGCCAGGCCCTGCCCACTCTCCTCGCCCACTCTGCCTGGCGCTCAGCCTGACTGTGCCTCTCTCGGGTCTAGGTGTGGTGGGCGTGTGCCTGGGCGGCTATCTGATCGAGGCCACAGGCTCCTGGACTTGTGTGTTCAACCTGGTAGCAGTCATCAGCAACTTGGGGCTGGGCACCTTCCTGGTGTTTGGAAAGGCCCAGAGGGTGGACTTGAGTCCCGCCCATGAGGACCTCTAGCTCCCCGACTCCCGTCCCGAGTCCCACTTGGATGCTGGCAGTTTTCAGGGACAAGTGGACCTCATCCTCAGTGGTAGGAGCCGAGGAGGAAGACCACAGCAGGGCATCCAGGAGGAAGCAGAGAAGCTGGGAAGGGGCTCAGGCACCCAGCGGGCCTGGCCAGAACCGGGCTCACCTCTCTGAGCCTGTTTCCCTGCCTGCCTGTGGGCATGACCCTGCCCTCCTCACAGGGTTAATGTGATCACTGCCTGTGGCTGGCTTGTCTGGGGGACATGGCTCTTCTGGTGGGCACCCTGGTGCTGGCCACGGGCGCCCCACCTCCGTCCACCTAGCCTCATTCTCTGATAGCCGCTCTCAGGTGGAGCTGTGGACTGTGGCATATTCAGGAGGACCTGCTCCGTGCCAGAGCACCCTCCTGCCCCCTCCCCTCCAGTCAGGACAATCAGCAGTGTCTACAGAGCACCCCATGTTCCAGGGAGCCCCTCTCCATGTTTCTGCCTCTCCCGGCAGCCCGCTGTCACCCCAGAGGGCTGGATGGGCAGCGTGCTAGAGAGGCCTTGCCCACCTCTGAGAGCCCCAGGGCCCCAGTTCCCTGATCCTGTGGATTTTGGTAGGACCGATGTCTCCTGGGTAGGCACCTGTGTGCCCCTCAGGCCCTGCGGGGACACCTCCTTGTCTTTCTACCTCCTTGTCAGCAGGAGGAGCTGGAGTTCTCAGGAATCAGGAGTGGATTCTGTAAGACGTGTGGGTACATAAAAGAAGCCACACAAATATGCAAAACCACACCAAGTCTTATTTAAAGGACTGTTAAACGATTTAAAAAAGAAGGGTTTCTGTTTGATTTAACACCTCTTTTTTACTAATGAGCACGTGATAAGATGTTGTGTGACCCATTCAACGAGGAGACCAGTGAGGAGTCTGACCCAGCTGCGGGCAGAGTCCCCAGACGGAGGCTTCCCTGTCGGTCAGGAGCACTGGAGTCCATGTGAGCACCAGAGCCTGGCCCTGCTTCCGCTGGGTCTCCTCTGCAGAACTGGGGACCTGCCGGGGCGGTGGACACGGCTTTCTAGAGCCAGGAATCAGAGGTGTGCTAGGAAGGGACACAGAGACCCCTTCCCCATGGTCTCCAGTCCGATCAGGAGAATCTCGAGGGAGATTCTTGATGTGAAACAGGTCCGCCTTCTTGAAGTGGGCCAAGGACTTGCAAGGTGGCGCGGGGGTGGGCTCTGCTGGAGGTTCCTGCGAACCTCAGGCGGGGCTTCTGGAAGTCTCCATGGCATGGGTCCTGAGGCTGGGAGTCAAGCCAAGAAACTCCTCGCCTGCGGACTCCAGAGCAGAGCCTCCACTGACCAGTCCCTCGCTCCCCCTCTCCGGGGGTCACATGGCCGCTCGTCAGCTACCCGCCTCAACCTCAGCACAGTTCTGTGGTGTCAAGCACATTCCCGTTGCTGTGTGACCATCACGCCACCCACCCACAGAACCTTGTCATCTCACAAAATCAGCTCGGTCCCTGCTAAACATTACTCCCAGGCTGTGGGCCCTGGCCCCGGTCCACTCCTGCCCATTCCTCTCCTGTCTGGCTGGTGGCGATTCCTGCCAGTCTGTCCAGTGGGTCTCACTGACCACCTCGTCGGGGTGAGTCCTGGGGAGGGGCAGGCTCGCTTCATGCTGCAGCAGGGCCAGGATCTGGAGGTGCCACTTTGTCCCTCCTCTCCTCCCCCACTGATGGACCCCGGGCTGCTCCTGCCTCTGGGCTGGGTGGACGCTGGGCAGTGAGTGTGGTGAGAAGTTAGTGCCCCGCTTTGTGTCCACAGCTGACTGTGGAATCAGTGAGAGGGCGGTGTCCTTCTCATGGGGCTCTGAGTCTCCTGGGGTCTCAGTGCCTTGAGCTGCTGAAGCATACGCAGGCTGCCCTGTGTGGGGGGGCCCTGCTGGTGACCCTCAGGGGCTTAGACCCCAGAGATGATGTGTGGGTCTAACGGAGCTTTGGGGCCCGACCTCTGGGGAGGCCGGGAGAAGACACAGGCGAGTGTCCGACTGCCCCATACTGCTTTGCCTGGACCCTCACCAGGCCTGTGTCCTGCTTCCCAAGGTGACGTGGAACCCTGGGCAGAGGTCTGCTGGGAGGAAGGGCACAGGTGGCCAAGAGAGCAGCTCTCCCCACTTCGCAGGGAGATCCACATGTCTGCTATCTGCCACAGACAGGCCCACCCTGCAGGCGGCCCCAGCAGGTTTGGGGAGGCCCCTCCACCCGACTGTGAGCCCGGGTGAAACCACATCTGCTGTCAGTGGGGGAGCCCCAACACAGCCAGTGGGCGTCCTGGTGGAATAGGTCATGACCCTGCCCCTGCCGGGCCAGTCCCAGGCCCTGAAAGCAGCTGCTGGAGCTTGGAGGTCCCATGGTCATCCCTAGGAGGGCTGGACAGAGGGGTGGGGACTGGGTGGGCAGGGTGGCCTCTCAGGATGAGAAGGAGCATGCATGCAGAGATCTGAGTGGAGTGTCCAGGCCCTGAGGTAGCCATTTGAGGAGGGGGCTAGGCAAAAAGGGCCATGGGATACGAGGTGGTGGGACCTCCCAGGCAGTGTTCTGAGTGGGGCCAGCACAGGGGGGCCAGGCCAGGAGGCCCTCCCAGCCCTGCACTACACAGGCAGCCTCGACCCTGCTGTCAGTGAGGGACTGTGGAGGCCAGTCCTCCATCCCCGGGCTGACACTGGCCGCCTAGAGCTCCAGTTTCTAGGAGTGGGTTTTAGAGCCCGAGGCAGCTTCCTGGGCCGCCAGGGTGACTGGCCAGTCCAGGGGCTCTGGTTGGGGCCTGATGGAACCTGCCAGGCCAGGAGCTCCCAGGGCACCCGCTCTTAGACTCGAATCGGGGAGCGGGGATTGTGTGAGCAGGTGTGGCCCGGACCTCGGACACAGCTGTTGTTGTTCCCCCTCTGGCTGACAGAGGGTGCTGTTGGACAGGACGTGCTGTCCTCTGGGCTCCAGTGTGGCTGACCCCACCTGGCCTCCCCGGACAGAGTGCCCAGTGGGTGCCTAGAAGGGAGTGGGCAGAGGGAACTGTGAGCGATGACAGGGGAGAGTCACGTCCACTTCACCGCGGGGCGGAGGAGAAGGATACTGGAAGGGGCTGATGGGAGCCTGGGCCCTCTCACGGGGCTAGTGATGTGTGTGGGAGGGTATGGGTCCCCCAGACCTGGCGGCATGATATCATTGCAGTCCAAGCCCCAGTCCATCTTCCTCCCTGCCAAGCTGGGCATGTGCCCTGGCCTATGGTGTTCACTCCCTGGTCATCCCCATCAAAGCCACAGGGCAGGGTGATGGTGGGACCTAGGGGCTCAGTGGCTGGTGGAGGGCTGTCCCCACCTGGCACAGTGGGGCCACTGAGACTGCAGTGTTGAGGTGTGTGGCCACCCACCCATGCCCTGAGGGGACAGGCCTTCCTCTAAGACATGGCTCTGATCCCCCAAGGGCACGGGGCCAGGAGAGGGAGGCTGTCCTGAACATAGCCTCCGGGGAATCGAAACTCAAGAGGCAGATGCCCCAGGGGTGCGGTCAGGCCCTCTGCTCATGGTCTGTGGCACAGGCCTCCGCACACTGCAGGAGCACCATCGCAGTGTTCCAGGGAGGATAGTCCCATGTGGCCTGTGGTCCTGCTGTGGCCCTAGGCCTATCCTGGACATCCCAGTGTCTTCTCCAGCCCCATGGGAGTCTCCCTACCTCCCATCTTTCACTTGCATACCGTTCTAGAACCAAGGCTGGGCCTGGCTCCAGGCCCCCACCCATACTGTCCCCAGGTGCTAAGCAGCCCTGCCCTGAATTCCAGCTCAGGTAGAAGGTTGTCCCCTCCTAATCACTATAAGTGACACTTTTCTGTCTTTCTTTAAAACAGGCTCTTTAATAGCCACTTAATATTCTTAATTAGTATGTTAATGTCCCTTCCACCTCTTGGGCTGCCCCCCCAGTTAAGGGGTCATTGTCTTTTATCTGTAGGACAGCAGTGCCCTGAGGTTCCTATTGCTCCCTTGGGGACTCCAGAGCATTTGTCCCTGGGTGGGGCCACTCTGACCTGGGACAGTGTCCTGAGTGGGGCCTCCCAGTCCCCAGCCACACTCTGTCCACTGTGTGCCATGGACAGTGACCAGCTGGTGGTCCCTCCCCCTCCCGGTTCCTGCCAGGCAGGGGAGGGAGGAGCGCAGGGCCTGTGAGTTGGATGTGCGCTTTTGATGGGTATTTACTTTATTATGTTTAATTGGAAGCCTGAAGCTGAGGCATGAATATTCAGCCTAGGAGGCTGGCGCAGGGCCAGTTCTCTGTGATGCGGGACGCGCCCAGCACGGGGCCTGTCCAAGGGGGAGCTGCGGTGGGGAAGCTATTAATTGAAATAGCTTCATTAATTAGTAATTAGCAGCAGGGTAATGACTATGTCGCCGTCGTATTTCAGCGGACGCCCTTCATGTGTTGCACGGTCTTTAATTAAAGGACGAGGATTTTAATCAAAGGCAAGCTTGGCCCTTTGGCCTTTGGAATACAAAAGATGCTCCTGCCATTCAGAGAAGCTAGTGTGGAGGCAGGGGGCCACGAGGGTCACAGGCCAGTGCACGAACCGTCCAGCTTAAAGGAGCCACCGAGGGAGGCTGAGAATCCCCTCAACACCCACCCAGCCCCCAGGGGTCCCGGAGTCCTGAAGGGGTTTGGGAGCTAGGCCTTGGAGGAGGATGGAAACCCGTGGACCGGCCCTTCCCCACCCTCATCCTGTGCCCCCGTGAGCTGGGCCATCCGCCGGCCCAGGCTGAGTCCAGCTGCTTTCTCTTCCTGTTCCCCTCCAGCAGCCTTGAAGCCAATGGCCATGCTGCCGCGCCTTGGGGAAAGTGCCACAGCAGCCAGGAAGGGCTTCGTGCCACAGCCTCCTAGTTCCCACCACGTAGCAACCCCACCTGCCTACGGACAGCCCTGAGCTCCACCTCTCCAGGGACTCCCCGTGCCTGGCCTCCTGCTGGACAGACCAGCAAACAGCTCTCCATGTCTGTCTCCTCTCTGTGTGTGGAGCACATTCAGAGCAATGCACACGCACACGTGTGCACAGGCTGCACTCCTGCCTGCTCAGTCACCCACACCGCTGTGTGCATGTGCACCCCCCACGTTGCACGCACACACGTGCCCACTGCAGACCCGTAGCTGTGTGTGGTCTGTTATCCATGCACACGCACACACATACCTGTCCTCAGGACTCAGTGGATGCAGGGTGAGTCTGCGG